GAGAGGAGGCGCTTGGAGGAGGAGATCCAGCGAGCCCGGGCCACGTCTGTGCAGGGTGCCACAGAAAGGTGGGCTGGCTCCCGGAGTTCCAGCTTCTAGTGAGGAGCCAACTCGAAAAGCTGCATTGGGGAACTTGCACGTGGCCTGAGAAGGGTTTTGCTTAGGGCAGCTGCTGCCTGGCCTGCTTCCTCGCTAAGCAGAGAGAAGGTGGAAGGAGCGTGTGCCTTCCCTTCTGTGCACTCATCTGTCCATCCAGTTGCCCATCCATCTGTCCATCCAACTGTCCACCTTTCTGTTTACGCCTCCATTCCCCCTTCCCCCCCCCAATGCATTGAGCTCCAGTGTATCTATCAGGCACTGTTCAGGGTGCTGGTGGTACATTTTGAAGCACGACAAAAACACCTCTTGACATTTATGACCTAGGTGTGCCTTGTAGAATTTAGCCATTCAAACCTCAATCTGTTTGGGGGAATTTAGAGTTGAATTTCTTGTTAGCAGAATACAGTTGCTATCTCTGAAATCCACCAATGGACTATTTTCTTACCTACAGAATTCTACTTCAGGAAAAAAGAAATTGTCTACTTATGCAGCTGGAAGAAGCTACCCGTTTAACATCCTATCTCCAGTCCCAGTTAAGAAGGTAGGTAACTTTAAACGAGAAAACGAGACCTAATTATCATATTCTAATGACATGTCCGTGAACTTCATAATTTCCTTTAGCTTGGCTTTCTCCACTGGAATTTAGAACCTGAAGGGGTATAAAGACAGAATGGAAAAGTGGGTACATTATATTTTTAAGAGGAGCTGCTCATGTATGATAAAGGAATATGAGGAGAACCAAATTTGGCTGCAGAATGACAAGTCTGAAGTCAAATTTACGCAAGGATTTTGTCATTCACAGCTTCAGAAGTGTGTATATCCATCTACATATGTGCACAAGGACATTTCTAGTTTTTTTTTAAGGATATGGATTTTTAAAATAAGATTTGGATGCTCAGTAATAGCTCCTGTTTTCATGTCCTTACTGTATTGTGAGGCATAATGGTGAGAGCTTTCTATGTATGATTTTCTCAGTTATCCCTCCTAAGAGTGCCAGGAGGCAGGACCTCTTCTTGTCACAGCCCCCAGGGAGAAAGTGGGAGGCTCAGAAAGGGCAAATAACTTGACCATGTGGACTCAGCTAGTCCACATTGGAGCTAGACCTTGAACTCAGACATGACCCTTTGATGTTAACCAGTGCTCTCTTCCAACATTAAAAAAAAATGAAGACAGTCTTACTGGCGGTGCCTTACGAAGCTTACAGGTGTTTCAAGACATGCTCCGGTTAATGGAGAATGAGGCAGGATGCTGTTCCCTCGTGAAACAGACTAGCAGCTCAGCTTCACAGTTAACAGTGGGCCCCAGCGCCCATCTTCAGGCTGCTTGCTTTTCCCTAAGGGTGAGGGCTCTCTCGTTTCAGCTTGTCTGCCAGCACCCTGACGGTGTCCTCGGGGAGCAGCCGTGGGTCTCTGGCCTCCAGCCGGGGCTCACTCGCCTCCAGCCGGGGTTCCTTGAGCTCCGTCAGCTTCACTGACATCTACGGCCTGCCACAGTATGACAAACCTGATGTCGAGTGCAGCCAGCTTCTGCGCTTTGATCTGCTTCCCTTTGACTCCCTGGCGCGAGAGGCCCCCTTCTCAGACCCTCCGGGCCCCGCGGGCTTCCACAAGCAGAGGCGCTCCCTGGATACGCCCCAGTCCCTGGCGTCTCTGTCCTCCCGCTCCTCCCTGTCCTCCCTGTCTCCCCCGAGCTCGCCCTTGGACACACCCTTCCTCCCGGCCTCTCGCGACTCGCCCTTGGCCCCGTTGGGGGACAGTTTGGAGGTGCCAGGCCTGGGTGCCCTAGACAGACTGCGGGCTCAGGCCTCTGCCCTGGGGGATGAAGACTTGCCGGGCACGGCATCCTTTCAGCCACACACATTCCCCGTGGACAGGGAAGGACCTCGCGAGCGAGGACCCCAAGTGGCTGCCGCTCCCACGGGCACAGGTAAGTATTGCCAAATCCTGGGGGTGTTCCAGGCCCTGGGAAGAAAGGCTTCCCATTCAGGGAAGAAATTGTGTGCCATCACACTGAAGCCAGCTGGCTCTTCAGTTACATCGCCAGCTTTGAATTTAGGGCTGTTGCTAGGAGGAAGGGCACTGGCCTGCTTGTCATGTGGGTGCTTCCTGTCTGTGTCCTAGAAAGGCCACTGAAATTGGCAAAGGAGTCTCCCAGGTATTTGGCTTGTTTTCAGGATGTGCTTCATTGTTGAAAAGGAGGGAGAGAACGACATAGCCTTCCACATTCAGAGGCTGGCAGAGAGCCGCTCGGGCCTCAAGACGCTCTCCAGGGCGTGGGCACGTGGAATACTCTGTGTGTGCCGCCTCAGACTAGCCCATGGACCAATGTCTGCGGTAGCCCCATGGAAACCTCCACTTCCTTTGTCCCCATGACTTAGCTCTTCATCCTTTGTCCTTGTAGTTTACAAGGACGTAATTCTATCAAAAGAGTAAGGGAAAGTAATTGGCATAAAGACACGCCAGTAAGCATCAGTCACTTCTACGGCCCCATTTCTCTGGTCTTCAAATCAAGAAACATGTAGCCATGGGAACTTCATCCATCCAGTCGGTGCTGGTTCAGCTTCTTTTTGGTCCCAGGGTCTGTCAGCTTGTAGCCCATGTGGAAAAGCAAACGGCTGATGGCTTGTGCGCAAAGCAGGGCCTGGCTTCAGCCCTCCTCATCTTGACCCCGTCTGCTTTTTTGAGGCCACCTCCAGCAACTTGAACTTGCTTAAGCTTGAAAAAGGGTCAAGAACAAGGCCTCTCATTCCTGAAGTTCGGCCCATTTCATTTTATTTGCACAGCAAAACTGCTTTAGACATTCCTTTAGGAGAGCACTAGATAATTTGTACAGCATAGTGGATCTCAACCAGGGACATTTTGCCCCCTGGGAGATACTTGGCAATGTCTAGAGACGTTTTTGATGGTCACAACTGAGTGGGTTGGCAGGGAGGTGCTACTGGCATCTAGTGGGTGGTGATCGCAGATGCTGCTGAGCACCCTGCAGTGCCCAGGACAGCCCCCACCCCCTCCACAGAACGACCCAGCCAAAAGGTCAGTAGTGCTGAGGGGGAGAAATCCTGGGCACGTACTGTTGAGTAATTTAGCAGCAAAGGGTAGAAATAAAACGTGAATACAAAAATCAGTGTGGTGGAGTGGAAATGGCTTTGGACTAACAGCTTAGAGACCCGGATTCTGTTCCCTGCCCTGTTGATTTACTAGCTGGGTGACCTTGAACGCATCCCTGGATGTGATTGGAGTCTTAGCTTCCTGCCCTTAAATGAGGTGATCTTTATGGGCTCCTCCATTCACCGCCATTCTGTTACCCATGAGTGTTTTTCTATGTAACCATGCCGGTTATTATATATACAAAATAATCGTCTCTGTGAACACTTGCATGTTTAACCAGAGATCCATCATGTTAGAGGCAGCCCTGGGGCTTTTTGGCATCTCTGTCATGTTGGTGTCTTACCTTCTGTGTTTGCAAACACACCTTTCATATCCCCAGATACAGTGTTTCTGTAATTCACATATACAGGTGACATTCATTTGCTTTATTCTTCTTTATAATCACAAGTTCAGGGCTCCATGTTTACTCCTTTCATAAGGAAAGGAAATACAAAATAAGGACTGAATCGCACATCTGTTGTTGCTTAAGCCTCCTTTCTCAGTGCCCCCGCCCCCATGCCAACTTCTCTTTAAAGGTTGAGATACAAGACTCAGTCTCATGCAGAAAATCCACACGACGCCCAAGGGCCCTTTGAGGCCAGGGGAAAGACAGGGTGGGAAGGAGAAGAGCTGACATAATTTCTGATCCTTAATTCTTAATTTTTCCTTCCCACTTTGTGACCGGCATAATGCTTCCAACTTCTTGGACTGAGAGGTATTTGCATATGCTACTGTCGGATACTGCCGCCTGGTGGTACATTCGTGTATGACACTGTCAGTTGACTTGGGTCCTTACAAACGAGAAATCATTGACTCGTGAACGGGTCCTGGTGGCTGCTGGCAGAGGGCTGGGTAACCCGTTTCAGACATGGGCACAGGGTGACTCCTTGCTTCCCTTGATGCTTTTGGGAATGCCTGAGCCTGGAGTCACCGTAGCTTCATAAAGTTGGCGAGGATCTTAGCACCCATTATGTTACCCAGCCCTTCATTTTTGATGCCCAAGGTCACGTAGTTTACCCTCTGACTTCCCATTCCAGTCCAGCTAGGAACAGTCCAGGCTAAGTTTGACCTCGGGCAAGTTTTTGTTAGATAAAATTTTAGTAAGATAAAATTCAAAGTTTTCCAAACCTCCAAGGCAAGCCCTAGGGATAATTTCTTCCGTTGTGTTTTAAATCAGTCTTGAAGGCTCAGAAGGTAGTTCAGGGGAGTTGGGCAATTGACTGTAATCTTGAACATTTTTTACATTTTTACTATCGTTTCATCTTTTCTGGATTTTGAAAGTCAAATGTGTCATCACTTTGAAATCCTTTGCAATTTTTATTTCCCAATGGTATTTGCTAATCTAAATCTATGAAAATCTTAACTTTGCTCATGTACTCATTGTTTTTATTATATTCATACTCTGTTTAAAATTGGTGGCTTAAATTCTGCAGCTTTTTTCACTTTGTGCTTTTTTTTAAATCTTTTCTCATGCGGCTCGACAGAAACACTCACTGTAAGTGACCTTGGACTTCTCCTTCACCTTGTTGGTCAGGCTGTGGCACATCTTTGTGCAATGAACCAGTGTATTTAGGATGGTTGGGGTGTGGCCAAGGAGGGCATATCTCATAGCTAGCTGTACTTTAATGTAGCTCAACAATTACCATTATTATTATTTCAACATTAATAGTCATCATGCCTACTACAGTTGTGTAAGAACTTTTCTAAAAGCTTGAAGTGTTTATTCTTCTATATATTTATTCCCCAGACATTTTTTTGGATGGCTTTTATTATTTTAGATGCCAGCTGGCAGCTTGGCGTACAGTGTGATTTTCATTGTGTTTTCCTCCTTTTTGCCAAGCAGTGTTGTTGGCCTTAGGTGTCAGTGTCTGTCTGACTGTCTGTCTGTCTGTGTTTACTGATGAAAAGGTCAGAGATTTTAAAAACGATCCCGACTTTGTTGCCATTGCTGTCCATGGTCCATCTCGTGGCCTTGAAGCCTGAGAGCATATGGCTAGGGTGTGTAGCGTGGGGTCTGCTGGGGGTTTTCTCACCCAGGGCACCTGCTGACGGTATTTCCGCTCATCAGCTCTGCTTCCAGTTGCTCCGTGGATGCGGTGCCTGAGCCTGGGATCACCAAGGATGAATCCCTTCCTTTCCCTTCTCTCTCCGTCCGCCTTCCTTGCACTGAGAGAGAAACTCTGTCAGAGCCGCACCATCGGGCTAACTGGAAGTACTGAGGAGCATTGCGTGGTAGTATTTCCTTAAAGGAATGGAAGGCCATGTCTAGGAGCCGTGCAGAGTCTCAGGGCTGGGGGGGCAAATAGCCGTTTCATTTGCTGGGGATCCGTGCAGCAAACCGAGAGGTTCCATCTGCAGTTCAGAGCTGGGGGTGACGAGAAGAGCTGGACTTGGGAGTCCTGATTTACAGTTTGAGAGAGGTGACTCCAGCCACCCCAGAGTGCCAGTGGCTTCTGACCCTGACCAGAGGGGGACCTGGCAGCCCCCAGGCTTGGCATGCAGACCTTAGGGAGGTCAGCTGCTGTTTGCAGTCAAGCTCACGAGACCAAAGGCCACAGCCCTATTTTGTGTTGTTTAATGTGTTTGGCTACAATTGGCATGTGAATAATAATTTGCTTGGAAAGAGAGATGGTCATCGGTGGAATTGCCATTTCCCTGAACTTGGGAATGCACAGGTGTCTAGATTTTTAGTTCCTGGAGCTTAGATGGCTGAAGAAAAGCACAAAGACAACAAACGTCTTTGGCTTCTTCATTAAAATAGGTATGAGACAAAAATAAGCTGCCTAGTCATGTTAGCTTTTTAACACCTGGAAAGCGATTCTGGAAGCAAACCTGGGCCTGCTGAGAAGGGTACTGCTATTAGCTAGACAGATGGCACAAGGAGAAGTTTTCAAAGGCGGAGTCTAGGCTCAGCTGTGTCCTCTGAGTCTCGTAAATTCATGACCTTTTGTTAGGGTTTATTTGGATAGTTTTAAAAAATTTTGTCTTCTGATTATAAAACACTAGTATATGTTTACTGTATAAAATATGGAAAATACCAAACAGCATAAAGAAGGAAATGAAAAAGACCCCTATTTCCCCACTTGGAGAGCACAGCTGCTGCCTGCATTTGGGGTAACGTTTCTTTCCCGTTCTTTTGCGTATGGAAGTCTCTCCAAGTGCGATGTGAAGGGGCTCCCACCATCATCTTATATTCTGTGATTTCATTTAGGAGGTGAAAAGAGATTTATGACAGTTTAAGGAACTTTTAAAGAAGTAGCCAGAAGTCTATTTGTTCTATTTTTCAATATTAAACCAAGTCGAGTGCAGTGTATTTAAGCGCATGCATGTACATATCATGACATGTGCATATCTCTGGAACGCTTAGTAACCTGCTGTGTGCTCTAACTAGTGTTTATTTCTTGGCACCAAGGTCCCTGGCCTCTGGTGCTGTCTCCTCCTGAGCTCAGTGTGTCTCTCATTTGTAGCAGTGACCCTTCGAGAAGACAGCGCCAAGAGGCTGGAGAGGAGAGCGCGCCGCGTCTCTAAGTGCCTGTCGGATTATTCGCTGGCGAGCGATAGCGGGGTATTTGAACCTCCAACCAAAAGGTTAGAAGCTGGTCTTATTATCTCCTCCTCCCCAAGCAGCCTTCCCACAGACACATCTGTGTACTGACACTTGGTGTGGACCCAGGGATAGGATCTTTTTCTGGCTTCTCTCTACTTTGGCGGTTGGGCCTCAGCAACCTGCAAAGAAAATTCCTCGGGCTCATGTGTGGCGTTTGGAGGCTGGCCCTCATTCCGTGGTCTAGGATGACTTCTCTCTCTGGCCCTGGCTGATTTAAGGCTTAAGCCCAGTAGAGCTGGAAAAGGAGAATACTTGTAGGAGAGAGACCAGCTTTTCTAGAAAGGACATTCATTAGAAAGGCACTTGGTCCCTTTCTCCCACCCTCTCTCCCTTAGCTAGAGGAATCACTTTGCAATGACAGAGCACCTTTTGGGACTGGGGTGTTATTTTTATTTGGTATCTTTGATGCCATTGTTTCATCACACTTATTACAAACTGTTTAAAAGTTCATCTTTGAACTTTGCCCTGAGTATCCTATGTGGTTTTGAAAGGTATGCAAATTTATTGTCCCAACAACGGGACGGCTTATAGGCAGGTCCCCAGTGAGCTGCCTCATGGACTCAGGGACCTTCTGTGGCCATTCAGTCACTTCAAGACGTTCTTTACTTACGTTGCAATTTAATAAAGCTCCTCTCAGTGCGAAACCCTCTAACATGAGCGAGCGTGGCAAGACCTGCGGGCACCAGTTGTCCATGGAGTAACCCCGGGGACTTTCTGGTTATTATGCTCAGGAATGAAGATGCTGATGAGTCTGCACATGGAGACACTTGTGCTGTGGAAGGGCCCCAGATCCACGTTGGATTTTGGTGAGTATAGAAGGCTCCTCGGGGCCCGCCCAGCGACTCAGACCTCCACGCACAGGTTGGGAGGGATGGAGGGACCCACCTGATCTGGGGTCTCCTTCCTGGCCCGGATACCCGGAGTCCACTATAGCCGTCTCAGGTGATGGGACAGGTGGCTGCAAGGAGAGATGGCGAAGAGCAGCTCCGTCACTGCCCTGCAACACAGAGCCACTGCTGGGAACTGTCACCTCATGGAGGGGGGGTTCCGGGCTGTCACGCAGGGGCACCCAAAGTGGGTGGGCCTCTTGGGGAAGTGTCGCACATTTCTGTGCAGAGCTGGCTCTACTCTCCAGAGTGAGTAACCAGCTGGTGTGCAGCGCACAGCTTCTTGGCTTCTAGTAAGTTTCAGTAAAGGCGGTAACCAACAGTGGTCAGGCTAGCAAGGCAGGGTGTGTGCGTCCCATTGTTTCTCTTTTACTCGCTCTTGTCGTTCCAGTCGAGTTTTTCAGTGTTGGCACTAGTGACATTTGGGACCGGCTCATTCTTTGTTTTGAGGGCTGTGCTGTGCACTGTGGGATGTTGGGCAGCGTCTCTGGTCTCCATCCACTAGATGCCAGTAGCACCCTCTCCCCCCACTCAGTCATGACTGTAGAAAATGTCTCCAGACATGCACATGTACCCCACTCAGTTAGGGGCCACTGCTATAGTTGAACCGAAAGGACTTTTCCACCGTGGGGAACGTGCAGTCTGTGAACTTGCATTTAACTTTGCAGGCACGACAGTACCAGCGAATGTCTCCTTGTGAATGTGCTCCAACTGAAGAACTTTGCCGGGCTGGTCGTGAAGGAAGACTGCAAAATGTAAGCTCCCTTGCTGGTGACTGCCTCCGGGCCTCTCGCACACCGCTCTGCCCTGGCCTGCTCTGCTTGGCAGTCTGGGGTGGGGAAATGACTGTTTTGGAACCCGAATTTACAATAAAACCAGGGAGTGTCTGTCTGAAATAGAAAGGACTGTAAGTTTTTGTTTTTTAAGTCTGCTTTATTATTTGACGCAGACGATTAATGGAGCCAGGCTAGTTATTTAGGTGCTGCAGCGATGCTGAGAAAGTGCCACATGCCCGTCATTGGCCACATTTGGGCTTAAAATGTCCATCCCGGTCACGGGGCTGGGTGGTGACAAAGTGGCACTGGCTCTGTGATCTGATGAGGTGCCTGAAGAGGCCCCTGCCATGGATCAGGGGTCCTTGTCTGAGGGGAGAAGGAAATATAAGTTGTCACCAATTGGGAGGCGCTACAGCCTGAGGTGGGTGCCCGACAGAGGGCCTAGTTACCCAGGTGGGTGAGCACACCTGTAATGGTGCTTTCGAGCCCGAGGGCACGCTTTCCCCCATGAGTCTTTATAAGCTGGTCTTCTAAAGGCCTGGGAAGCAGCCCGGGGTGAAGTGGCAGAGGGCCCCCTCTGGGAGCTTGCTCTCCCCATGATGGACTTACCTCATTCACCAGAGTTTGGGCCTCTCCGTGCTGGTGCAGAGGGCAGGACAACCAGCCTTAGAGGTGAGGCAGAACTTCAAGAGGGAGCCAAGGAGGCCTTGGGGAGATCAGTGCAGCTGTCTTCCCTGAGAGACGGGAAAGCGGAACCTCTGCTTGACCCCGGTCAAGTCCTAACCGATGCCTTTGAAGTGGGTCTCTTTGCGGGTGGGTTTTTCCCCATCTCCAGGGGCACGTAAGTTCCTTGGGCTTACTCTTCGTTGAGAAAAGGGCTTTCTCCAGACTTTGTGGCTCGGCCTGTGAGCATCCACAGAGGGGAACACACATGCATATATGTTCGTGTGTGTCGTCGTGCCCACCTGTCAGTAGCCGTACTCTGTCTGCTTCTTCCTCCCCTCTCTGCTTCCAGACACATCCGAGTCTATTTGCCACCACTGGACTCTGGGACACCAGACACTTACTGCTCCAAAGCTGTGGAATTCCAGGCCCCGCTGGTATTTAATGACGTTTTCAGAATCCCTGTGCATTCAAGCATGCTGACGTTGAAGTCCCTTCAATTATATGTATGTTCAGTGAATCCGCAGCTGCAGGAGGAACTGCTGGTATGACTGGTGCACGCATGACAGCGCCCCCGCCTTCTTCCCTCCTCACACACACATTTCCTTTCTTCTCCCCTTCCCTGCCTCTGTCCTTCCTTTCTTTATGTTTCCATCAGCCTTTCTTTGTCTCTCTTCCTCCCTCCTCTGCCTTTCTTTTTTTGTCTTTCTCCATCCCTCTACCTTTTGTCATTCTCTTTCTTTCTTAGTCTTTCTGTCTTATTTATCTTTCTGCTTTTCTCTCGCTTTCTTTGTCTCTGTCTCCCTCCCTCCTTTCCTCTCTCTCTCTCTCTCTCTCTCTCTCTCTCTGTCTCTCTCTCTCTCTCTCTCCCCCTCTTCCCCTCCCCCTCCTTTTTCCTATGGTGGATTGCTTAGAAATTGTTGTGTTAAGTTTAGGTCTCTGTAACCAAGGGTATAGAAAGGGATGATAAAACCAGTTATCTTGTTACATGTTTTGTCCCTTAAATATATCAAGTAATACTTGCAAAACTCCGATGCTATAGCTTCTAAATTATCTCCATTTTCAGTGGAGGGAACTAAGGAAGGTTGACAAATTTGGCAAAAAAACGAAAGTGGATGGTCATTAAATTTGAATTTCAAATAATCTATGGATACTTTTAGTATGCGTATGTCCCATGCCATATTTGGGACGTACTTATACTTTTTCAAAGCCCATTGTTTATTTGAAATCCAGATTTACCAGGATGCCCTATATTTTATCTGGCAACCCTGGAACCAGGCGAGTCAGCAGTTTGTCTGTAGAACTGCAGCCATCCACTGGCCAGCCAGGACTTGGAAGCCAGGCTGGTTTCTTCCCAGGGCTGGAATTTTGCCCCTTGTCCCGCCCCTTCAGCAGCATATCCAAGATTGCAGAGTTCAGGTAGGCCTGATTTCAAAAATTCCTGGGAACATCAGCAGCTCATCAAGTGGCAGACCCTGAGCCCCACCCGCCAACCCAGGTTGTCCATTCTCTGCCCCTGTTCCCCTTCTAGCACTTTCTGATTGGGCTGAATAAGCAATGGAGGAGCCTCCCCCATTAGGGTCCCCTGTGACCATGTTCATTTTACTGCAGCCCTTTCAATAGCAATGAAACATTTTATGTCCTTTCTGGTGAAGATTGAAGGGGGCAACCTTGCTGTTTTAGATTCCCATTGGTTGTTAAAGTAACATCACTCAGTGCCTGTTCTGCCGTTTTTTTTTTTTAACACCTGTGCAGGGCATAGCTCAAATTAACTTGGCCGAATGTGATGGTCCGAGTGAAATGCAGCTGCGCTGGTACTCGGTCCAGGTGTTCACCAGCCCTGAGCCACCCAGGGCGAGGGAGAGGGAGCGGGCCGGGGAAAGCGGCGCCCGGGAGCCTGCGCACACCACCGCTGCCGTTGCTGCTGCCACCACTGCTGCCACTGCCATCACCGCCACCACCTCCGCCACTGCCACCACCACCACCGCCGCGACCACCACCGCTGCTGCCGCTGCCGCCGCCGCCGCTGCCGCCGCTGCCACCACCACCGCTGCTGCCGCCGCCGCTGCTGCCGCCTGGAAGTCGGTGGGTATACCTGGCCTACGGGGCCACTCATTCTTGCTTTCCTGGTTTTTACTGGGCGAGGTCATGTCTAAGAAGCATCTTTGTAGGCTTAGTCTTAGAACATATTTGTGAAGAAGCAGAGTTTCAAGGGAACTAGTAAAAATGGAATGTGAGTGGCCAGTCATGATAGTGTTTTCGATGTAGACATGTTCGTGATCGTGAGTGGTGCATCAGTGGTTTTTAAATTTGAGCCCTCAGAGATGCGCGGAAAGGCCAAGTTCTTGTCTTGCTATTGACATTGGGGTGCGTGTCTTCCCACTGAAGAGCAGCTGAGCACTGCCACCAGCCTGGAGGAAGGGACCGCACTCTGGGGTGGGTCCGTGCCTGCTCCCTGCTTTGCTTCCAAAAGCTGTCAGCCTGAGCAGCTTCTCAGAAATGGCCCTTTCCTGTTGCAGGACGCTGTGACGGTGCTGCTGGCTAGAACCACAGCCCAGCTGCAGGCAGTGGAGAGAGAGCTGGCCGAGGAGCGGGTGAAGCTGGAGTACACGGAGGAGGAGATCCTGGATATGGAGCGCAAGGAAGAGCAGGCCGAGGCCGTGTCTGAGCGGTAAGGCTCCTTGAACTGGCAAAGAGATGGCGCACATGTCGTGGGGGGCGAGGCAGCCACTGTGTTAGTCAGCCCTGGCTCTCTGGCGGGAGCTGCATCTTTGGGTACGAGTTGCTTTTCTCACTCACACGTCTCAGAAAGTGCTGGGTGACTCTTCAGAGAAGTCAGGGTTCTCCTGGGGAACTGAACGCCGATCTGGACGAGGGCGCTACCCTGACCGCTGTCCCCCTGCTCTCCAAGTAGGCTTTTCACCTTCTTCTGTTTGGGGATTTCTCTTAAAGAGGAGGACTACTGAATGACTCCACTCTGCCAGGGTTGAATACAATAAGGTCCCTTTAAGGTTTTTTTTAACAGCTTTATTGACATATGATCTACCTGCCATATAATTCACCCATTTAAAGTGGACAATTCAGGGGTTTTTAGTACAGTCACAGAGTTGTGCCACCATCACCACAATCAGTTTTTATCATGCCAAAAAGAAACCCCATACCCATTAGCAGCCACCCCCATTCCTCCTATCCTCAGCCCCTGCCAGCCGCTAATCTCCCCGCTGTCTCTACGGATTTGCCTAGTCTGGGCATTGCATCCAAATGGAACCGTGCGATGTGCCTTTCCATTTGACCTGAAGCAGCCTGTTGGTGAACCCTTGGCTGGGTACAGCCCTGCCTTCCATAGAGGAACAATTCAGACGACCAGCACCTTGAGTGAGCTGGTTTCTGTCTGATCCTTTCCGGAGGCATCTTCATATCGCTTTATGTTTTTCCATAAAGAGCATCGTATTTCCACAGCTCCCTGCTTCTTCCTAGAGCTCTCCCTAAATGTATTGGGGAGAGGAATTTCTTTTAGGGTGGGGAAGTCTATGGCCAAGGGGGAGGGTATTGTACTGGGGACCTGGCAGAAGGTTGGGAGGGGTTCGGGAAGGGGGTTCAGGATCCTGGCATTTTCAGCGGGTGCGATTGGGTGATGAAGGCAGACGCTCTTAGTGAGAGGCCTGTAGCATTGTCTTCCCGAGAAATGCTACATTCGTTTTATTGTATGAGAAAAGCAACTGTCTTTAATCATTGGAAGCAAATAGCAGGCATCTCTGCTTCTGTGCTCTAAACACAGCAGTGCACTCGCCCCTTTGGATGAGCATTGTGGGCTTTTGCAATGTCCGCCTTTAGGAGCTGGCAGGCCGACTCGGTGGACAGTGGCTGCAGCAGCTGTGCCCAGACCAGCCCCCCGCACCCCGAGCCCTGCTGTGTTGGGGTCGACTCCATCCATGGACACCCGTTTGCTGGCCAGGCAGATCCTTACAGCCCTGAGAAACTTCAGCCCCCGCCTGCAAAGGTAAGTGGACATAGATTGTGTGGAGCCCCCGACGCTTTGCGGCACACCAGGCCCCACGTCCTCAGGTGAGATGAGGAGATGGGCTCAAGGGAGCTGCAGCTGACAGGCTCCTCTGCAGGAGGAGGATGACGTGGCTCACCTCTACAGCCCGGGGACAGTGGCTGTTGGAGGGCGTGGTGTGACACACACACGGTGCTGTGGGGTTAGGGGGTGCTAGGGAAGGCGGTATTTGACAGACGGAGAGCCGGGGAAAGCAGTGACTGGCTGAGATCTATAAATGACTTAATGGGCCCGGCAGGGACCGTAGAAATGTTTGCCAACTTTCAATTAAAAAGAAAGAATGACTACAGCGAAAAGGGTCGATGCTTATTCCTTTCATTTGCCACCTGGTGAGGACCCAGTCCCGTCTTCAGGGGGCCCCATGGGTTTAGACGCTGCAGTTCCTGTTGTCCCTTTGTGAGGGACAGTGAGGCGTCCTTTTCATTTTGAAACACTTCAAATCTACAGAAAAGCTGCTAGAAGAATACAACGAATACCCATGTAGCCTTCACCTAGACGCCTCGACAGTTGGTTCTTTACCACGTTTGCATTCTCTCTTTCTGTGTGTATGTGCTAGGCGTTGCAGAGGCAACAGCAAAGAAAACAAATGGAAAGTCCTGCCCTTAGGGGGCAGGCAGGCAACAGACAGGTAAATCAGTAAAATACGGCAGCGTTTGAGACCGTCAAAGGTGCCACTGGAGGATGAGATGGTAGGGAAGCGGGTTTGCATTTTTAGAAAGATTTCCCATTTTAGAAAGGATTTGCATTTAGAAATATAAAGTTACATTTATATTCTGGAAAGATCAGGATTGTAAAATGGTGTGGCCACTATGGAAAACAGTATGGTGGTTCCTCAAAAAATAAAAAATAGAACTACCATATGACCGAGTTATTCCACTACTGGGTATTCATCCAGAAGAATCGAAAGCAGGTCTCCAAGAGATATTTGCATACTTATGTTCACAGTAGCCAAGAGGTAGAAGCAATCCACATGTCCATCGATGGATGAGTGGACCAAGAAAAAGTGGTGTATATGTACCATAAAACATTAGCCTTAGGAAGGAAGGAAGTCATGTCACATGCTACACATGGATGAGCCTTGAAGATGTTGTGCTAAGTGAAATAATTCAGTCACAAAAGGACAAATACTGTGTGATTCCACTTATATGAGGTGCCTGGAGTAGTTAAACTCATTAAGACAGGAAGCGGAATGGTGGGTGCCATGGGCTGGGGAGGGGGTGGAGGGTTAGTGGTCAGTGGGGACAGAGTTTCAGTTTGGGAAGATGAAAAAGTTCCAGAGATCTGTTTCAGCACAATGTGAATATTTTTACTGAACTGTACACTGAAAGATGGTGAAGGTGGTACATTTCGTGTGTCTTTTACAATAAACAAGCAAGGAAGCCTCATCGGGAAGGCAGGTTTTGAGCAGAGGCGATAAGGAAGGAGGTCCGGGAACCTTGCACAGGGCTAGGGAAGGGCATTCAGGTAGAGGGAGCTGCAGGAGCAGGCGTGAGGGACATGGGGGCGGGGGTGGGGGTGGCGAGGAGTCATTGGAGCTCAGCACAGAGAGAGGAAAGGGGCCAGATCACACAGGGCCCACTCAGGACTCTCGCTTTTTCTCTGACAGTTGGGAAACTGGTGGATGGTTTTGAGTCCAGGGGCGACATGATCTGACTTAAGGGTTTTCGTTGATTTTTCCCTAAAATAATTGACGGACATGAAATTCACATAAGATGAAATGACCCATTGCACACTGAACAGTTCAGTGGCATCGTGTCCACTAAGTGTTGTGCAACCACCTGCTCTGTCTGGTTCCCACACACTTCTATCACTCCAAAATAAAACTCTGTGCCCACTAGCAGTCACTCTCCATTCCCAACCCCCAGCCCCTGGCAACCACCAACCGGCGTTCTGTTTTTATGGATATGTCAGTTCCGGATGTTTCGTGTAAATGGTATCACACAGTGTGTGACCGTTTGTGTCGGGCGTCTTTCACTCGGCCTAATCCACGTTGTGGCATCTCTCAGGGCCTCCCTCCTTTTCACAGCTGAGGAGTATCCCCCTGCATGGGCATTCTCCCACATTTCATTTAGCCACTTGTTCATCTGTGGACATGTGCCCTCTTTCCAGCATTTGCCTGTTTGAATAATGCTGCTGTGAACATTCATATGCTAGCATTTGTTCTGTTAATGAAAAGAAGACTTGAACCTTTGTCGATTTAAGAAAAGAGTTTTTTACATGGGCCCCACTGAGAACATCCCTGAGAGCAGAGTACCAAGAAGCCTTGAGGCAGCGTCTGACTTAGGAAGGCGGGGGCTGGGGGTGCTTATGTAGGCAGGAGGGCACAGGAAAATACAGCTGTGTGTCAGCGGTTTTGGTGCATTCCATACATTCAAGGAAGCCGTTTTACATCAGGTGGAGAGAATGTACAGAGAAGGTTGAGTCCTCGAGCACCTGGAGTCAGGGAGTCGCAGGAACAGGTCTGGAAGCAATTATTTTGAAACCTCTATCAGATATAGAAAGAGCAGACACTGACTTCTGTAATCACTTATCTTTGTTGGAGAGTGTACGTGACCAGCCCCACAGAGGCCTTTGTGAGGAATTCACTGTGTCCCCGTGATTACTGATTAAGTTGGACCAGCTTAGGCACCCTTTCCTTTCTCCCGAGGGAACGAACACCTATTTGCAGGTCGTTTGGGTGTGCATTGAGCAGAGGCATTGCTGGGCCTGACTTCCGTTGTACCAGGATCCTGGTTGCTGTGTTGGGAGGAGGTTGAAGCGGGAGGGGAGGCATGGAATAGGGAGCTGGGTTAGAAACCTGCTGTACTAACAGGGCACAAGGTGACGGAGACCCGGAGGGAGGGTTGGTGACAAGTGGCCAAAACATGCGTAATCTTGACTATAGAGCCAAAGGGATTTGATCTCGGACCAGATAGAGGGTGTGCAAAAGAGAGCAGAGTCCAAGGTGACCCAAAGACTTTTATTTTTTGCATGAAAAATGGAAAGCAAGAGACCCTTTTCAGAGGAGGAGGTGTTGAGGGCAAATATCAGAAATTCGGTTTTGGCTGTGTTAAGTGTGAATGCCAGTTAGAACTCCAAGTGGAGACGGCAAGGAGACGATTGTTTGTGCACCGTTGATTGCTCGTGTTCTAGAAAAACTCATGCTAACGAATGAATTCCCATCTAGGTTGATAAGGAAACCAACACAGAAGACCTCTTTCCAGAAGTAGTGAGTTTTCCGAAGGAGCGGCCAGGTCGCAGGGCCCGCGGGGCGCCTTTCTCCCGGAGCAGCACCATAGTCCGTTCACAGACTTTCTCGCCTGGGGCTCGAAGCCAGTATGTTTGCAGAGTAAGTGGGCATTCCTTTGCCACCTGTGTAGAAGTTTTCTTTTTCCCCCCTTCATTGTGTTTTATTTTTTACTATTTATGTTAAAAGACATATGTGTTCTCACAAATAATACCAATACATGAACAGCATGCTTATGTGGATATGAAACCGATGTTGCTTTCATGTCCCCTAACTAGGTTTCTTCCGGATTCTGGTACATTTCCCCCAGATTTTCAGGGTTTTATGTGCACCGACTCGTGGTCAGGAAGCAGAGCGGCTCATTTCTACATCAGTCTCAGGAATAACAAATTGAATCGGGACTCTCCTGAGTGGGGTTGAGATCTGCAAGCCGGGTCGCTGAGGCCTGAAGTGCAGCTGTGTTGGAGGGTGCCAGGGAGGGCAGCAGCCTAGAACACTCGGGCACAGAGCCAGAGGGCTCTGAGTCCCCCGCATGTAAATCCACACCCAACAGGTGACGGCAGGAGATGCTGGGTGGTTCTCAACCTTGGCTGTACCTTGCAATCTTGTCACGTTGTGGGAGTTCCCAAACTGCTGGTGCCTGTGACCACCCCCCCCCGGCCCCTCTTCCCCCACCCCCCATACACACAAGGTTTTTCACTGGTCACAGCGGGGCCGGGGCCTCAGAGCTTTGGGACACTCCCAGGTAGTTCTAACGTGCATACAGGGCTAAGGGCCCTGAGCTAGGTGGAGCGGGAAACGCAGCCTGCTGTGGTCCTTGAAGACAGGACAGCATGTTGGAGGTTGGCAGATAGCGCCAGTGTGACAATGACAGCATGGACTAGGAGAGAGAAGGGATTTTTAAGGATAAGTGGTCCTGACACAGTGGCCTGGCCATTGCATTGAGGAGAACGTTTACCCTTCCTACTCCTCTGAATTGGGCTTGAAGAAAGCACGTTCCCTTGAAGGGGCTGCCAAGGAGCTGGCCCCATTAGGGCAAAGCCAAGGTCAGATCATATGAGAGAAACAGACCCTCAGACCCATGCAGGAAATATTGGGAGTGTGGTTCAGGGGTCCCAGGCCTACCCTTAGATTCAGTAATTTGCTAGGACTCACAGAATTCAGAGAAGCCGTTATATTCACAATTATGGTTTATTAGAGTGACAGGATATAGACCAAAGTCAGCAGAAGGAAGAGGCGCAGCACGAGCTTTTAGTTGGCCTCTCCAGTCGGGTTGTGCAGACAGCCCCTGTGTCTCCCAGCAGTGACAGGTGGCAGCGCGCATGGACAGTTGCACACCAGGGCAGCTCACCTGAGCCCTGGTGTCCAGGGCAGCTATGGGGGGTGGTCATGTAGGCTTGTTGATTGCCTGCACAGCTGATCTGAGTCTCCATCCCACTTCCCGCCCTGCAGAGGTCAAGCTGATAGCCAGAGGCCCCCACCATAAATCACATTGTCAGCAGAGGCTATGTGACCTGGCCCAAGGTCTCCAAGTAAACAAAGACACTTAGGCAGGACATTCTGGGGCCTTACAGGTCACCTCCTAGGAGCTGGGCAAGGACCAAACCATTCTTGGAGCAAGGTTAATCCTCTACTGCACAGAGCAAACAGCAGGGGTGGGGCCCCAGGTGGCCCCAGCCACCCCTCTGCCATGTTCACGGGCCTGCTGCTCTTCCTTCCACAGAAGTGAGGTGTCCGAGGGTCCTGCCGGGGCGCTCCTGTCCCATCAGGCTTCAGCCCTGTGGGACTGATGCTTAATCGAGCAGCTGGAGGGACTAGATTGAAGGCCATCCTCAGGTCCCTTCATTATTCTAGACTCTCGCTGAACATGGGGAGTGGAGTCAAGCCTGCCTGTTGAGAAGGGTTGGGCGGTAGAGGAGGAAATCCTTTACTTCCCCGGAGAAAGGCTTCCAATTCCTGTCCTGGGTTCTGCGCTGGCCTAAAAGTATGCGCGTGCTGGCAGTGGTTTGAGAGGCCTCTTTGTTTTTGTATATGTTTGTAATGATCGGCGGCATGTGAGCTGCGGTGCCATAGCCCTGCCTCAGTATTTGGGGTTAATTGGCGTGGAAAATAAGTCCAGGGAGGCAAGGACTTTGGCTTTCACACAGATACATGTTGGTCCTGAAGCGAGAACGCGCCACAAAATGAAATACCTAATGTCTTGGCTCCCATAAAGAAGGCATTATTTATTTTTCTTTTTAAAAGCAGACCTTTTCCCTTGACGGGCAGAGCGGGCGTTAGTGATGTTGGCTTGTCCTACTACCAGGAACGAGCCTCTTTTTTGGAAAGCCATTTTTTTCCCAGCTCCTGCCAAAGCCAGAAATGCAGCAAAGGAGAACGATGAAAAGTGAAAAGCGCTGAGGACAGTGCTGGCTTTCATGACCGTCACACATCATATCAAGTCACACTGATGGGACAGAAATGTTGTTGACTCAATTAGCCTGGAAAGTTCCTGTGGTTCGGTTGATGGACATGAAGGAGGGCTGGGGTTGGGGCCTGGTTTGCTCATTTGGTTTGTTTTTGTTTGTCTTTCATTTTACTTAAAACTCTTGTGTAGGTTTTGTTTTTACTGAAACCAGAAGTGTTGGTAAAAGCACTAAAAGTCATAAGTACATTTGCGTATCTGTGAGGAGAAGCGAGATAATTCCATTGAGAATACATAGAGAGAAGGAGTATCGAATTTCTGAGAAAGTGTTTCTGAACCTTGTTCTTTTTCGTGCAGCTTTATCGTAGTGACAGTGACAGTTCAACACTGCCCCGGAAGTCCCCCTTTGTCCGAAATACTTTGGAAAGACGAACCCTTCGCTATAAGCAGGTGTGTACCACATAAACTAATATGGAATCTATACTTACCCTGGGAGTTATTTTGACAAACCTTAAAAATGGTAATCTTTTAGGTACTTTTAGTTCAAGGGTAATATAGTTATGTCCTTGTTTACTTAGATATGATTTTTAAAAGCGTATATGTCAAAATATTACCAGTATTTCTTAATTTCCTAAGGCAATGTCATGATTTAAGGTAAGTCATGAGCTTTACACTTTTAAATGTAATAAATGAATAAAAACCCGACCGTTCTATATAAGAGGTTCTTTTTTGATAGGGGCGTATGTATCGTTTAGCAAATTTGAGTTTTTCCACATAGAGCAAGCATTCTTCTACATTAGTGTGTTCTACAGTTTTCATTCATTTCCTTTACCCACCAAGGGTTTTTCTCCACATCACGCCACTTTACAAAGGTTTGCTGCTTTTAGTTTGTAAGCTAGTGCTCCCCTATCTTTTCCGGGCAATGATTCTTTTAGTGAAAAAAAAATCCCTGATTTCCATGTGGCACTTGTATTTAGAGTAGACGCTGACTGAGAATGATAAGAAAATACATAATTCAGCTACAAACGTCTTTCTCAGCAGTAACACTGGTGACATTTGGGACTGGATCCTTCTTCGTTGTGGGGCCACCCTGTGCCCTGGAGGGTATGGCGCTGCACCCCTGGCCTCCACCCACTAGGTGCCAATAGCACCCCCTTCCACCAGTTGTGACAACCAGAAATGTCTCCAGACATTGCCAAATGTTCCCTGGGCGGCCAAGCAACCTCTTGTTGAGAGCCACTGAGCTCTGCTATGAATTCAGCAGTGCTTTTAAATGAATTTGTATTTATTAAGTCACATCATGTATTTGCATTAAATTCTGTATATGTGCAAAGTGGTGTCAGTGTGTGTCAAAAGCGTACAGTTATTCAGTCCACTAAACAATACTGATATGCTCATGGGTTTGATTTTGTTGCCCTAATTGCCATTCCCAGGGTTGTTTCCCATTGGACTGGAAGTACTGCTCTCTACTCCACAAACAAAATTCTTTTCTCATCTTAGGATTTGTCTTACACACAGCACATTTGCTTCCTTGAGGCTTACATGGGGAGGAAAGTCTGATGGCTTACGTGTATGTGCATGCATGCATGGATGTATGATGGTTTGTTAAACAAAAAGCGCTCATATGGTTTATGACATGCTTTTCCTCCTTATATAGTAGATTATTAAGATTTTTCCATGTCAGTATAGTTTGTCAACTTTTTACAATGGCTGCATTTTTTTGCTGGTCTTGTAATTTATTTAATCAGTTTCCTCTTGTTATATATTTAGAATTTTTTCTGTCATGAACTTTAATTCAATCACTTTTGCACGTCATCAGTTGTTCCTTTCAAACACAAGTCAAAATGAAGTTTCAGAACCAAAGAAAATGCACATTTTTTGGCTTTTGACCTGTATTGTCAAATGGCGCTTCAGAAAGTTTATGCCCAGTTTTGATCCCACCACCCCCATATGAGAGGGTCTGTTTTTCCACACTTTTACAAATACATAGGCCATCAATAAAGAAAACAATTTGCTGCCATAACTTGATATCAAACTGGAGATATGTTTGTTTGTTTTTTAACAAGTGTGTGTGCTCATGGCTGTTGTGTCCTACAGTCCTGTAGGTCATCCCTGGCCGAGCTCATGGCCCGCACCTCCCTGGACCTGGAGCTGGACCTCCAGGCGTCGAGAACTCGGCAGAGGCAGCTGAACGAGGAGATCGGCACCCTTCGCGAGCTGAGGCAGCGGTTGGAGGACGCCCAGCTCCGGGGCCAGACCGACCTCCCCCACTGGGTGCTGAGGGACGAGCGATTCCGGAGTCTGCTGAAGGAAGCAGAGAGGCAGGTAGGCAGCCCAGGGTCTGGTCACAGTCACTGCCCTTTGCTCCAATTCTACTTGGGTTCTGCAGTAAGCATCTCAGATGGTAAAGCTATTGTTTAAACCATCTAAGCGCTGGTTGTTGTAAGGAGCCGGGTTTCTCCTTCCGTGTGCCACTGGGCGCCTGGTGTTTGGGTGGTACCAACACACAGCTCTAGGCTTTGCAGGGGCTGCACAGGGGCTGGAGGGAGGGATCCCTGGCCCCCCCTGCTCATATCCCTGCTCCCCACATCGTGGTGGGGTATTCTGGGTCCCCTGTCTGTGAGGCATGAGCCTAGTGGCCCTGAGTGGCTCCTACAAAGATTCCCTGAGGGTTAGTGGGTGGGTAGGCCTTTCTCCCCCCTTCATTGATTCTTCCTTAAAAACCAGAAGTAAAAACATCTTGTTTATCCAATGTTGCTGTTTCAGACAAGACAGACCAAACTTGACTTCCATCAAGAACAGGCAGCTGAGAAGATGCTGAAGAAGGCTTCCAAAGGGGTCTGCCAGCTGCGCGGGCAGAACCACAAAGAGCCCATCCAAGTGCAGACCTTCAGGTGGGGAGAGACACACGCCTCGGTTTCTTGCTTCTTTTTACTCTTGAACCTTTGTCATTATAAAAATGTAACTCTTGAAAAAAACCTACAGGACATGGAGAACAAAAGAGGACTCCCCACTGCTATTAGCATTTTGGTTTTCTTCTGATCTGTTTTTCCTAGACACTGTTTTGTGTTTTTTTCATACTACCTGTAATCATAATGTGGGTTCAATTTTGCATTTAGCTTTTTAAAATTTAAGTATCACACGTTGCCACATAATCCTTTATCTTTGATGGCTGTAATGTCTCATCTAATAGAGGTCATTTACCTCAATACTCTATTTTATAGCCTTCTTTTCAAATGTTTGCTATTGTAAACAACACAGTAGTTGACATCTATATATACACACATCTATGTATCACCTTGGCCTTTTTAGTTAACTTTTGGTTGAAGCATAATATACATACAGGAAAGGGTGCATATCCTATGTGTGAAATAGTTCAGTGATTTGTCACAAACTCTGCGTGGCAAGAATCAAATGTTATCAGCAACCCTGGGACTTCCCACACCACAGTAACCACTGTCTTGATTTTGAATGGCATAGATCAGTTTTCCCTGTTTTTGTTTTTCATATGAGGAGAATTATACAGTTATATTATTTTGTGTCTGACTTTTTTAAAAATTGAGGTAAAATTCACAGAGCATAAAATGAACTATTTTAAAGTGAATGATCCAGTGGCATTTAGCACAGTCGCAATGTTCTGCAACTGCCCCCTGTCTAGTTCCAAAACATTGCCATCACCCCAAAAGGAAACCCTGTACCCATTAAGTACTCACTCCCCGTTCCCACCTCCCCCAGCCCCTGGGAACCACTGATCCGCCATCTGTCTCTATGGCTTTGCCCATTCTGGACATTTCAGATAAATAGAGTCATACAGTATGTAGTTTTTTATGCTTGACTTCTTCCACTTAGGATAATATTTTTTGAGGTTCATGCACACTGTAGCAGGTGTCGGAACCTCATTCCTTTTTATGGCTAAATAATAGGTGCCTGACTTTTAGCCTTAATTTTTTTATATCCTGAATTTTCACATCCCCATCATAAAAGAACATAAAACACTATAAATATCTTCTTTCAAGTATGATTGAGAACGTGTTCATTTGCATAGTTTTTTCATTTATTAATAAAGCAAATATTTACTGAGCACCTACTGTATACCAGGCACTGTTCTAGGTGCCGGAGACAAACCCTTCCTCTCATGGGGCTTTGTAACTTCCATTAAAATGTAGAGAAACTATATACAAACAGATTTGTTGTTGGGGATTTGAATTCAGTTATCATTGATGCTGAGAGCCTCCTGCCAGCTTTCATTGCATTTATGTCAGCTTCTAACATGTAATTCTTTCCAATCCCAGGGAGAAGATAGCATTTTTTACAAGACCAAGGATTAACATACCTCCTCTGCCCGCCGACGATGTTTGATGTAGTGCTTTGTACACATGAAGTATTTATCTGCCTGTTTTATTTTCATGAAGTTCTTAGACTAGCTAAATTTGTCTTTAAAATATTTGTGCAAAGCTATTAATATACACATTTTGTAAAAAAAAATCAAGCACATATATCTATACATATATATTTTATAATAGTGACGGCAACAGGGCTTGGTTTTCCCTTGTTGTGAAATTGACATCTCTGAAGACAAGTTATTTTATAAAAGATCAACTATCATGTTAAGAATGTACAGTTTTTATGCTGTTTTATTTGACTTAAAGGCTGGAAGACAGAAACGAAGTGAGTTCAGGCAAATTCACTGTATTGTAATTTATTTATAGTACTTTTTTTTCCTTGAAGGAAAATACTGACTTTAAGATGTATTTTAAGACTGAAATTTTGTTCTTCGGTATTTGTCATGCAGTAGAATGGAACTTTGGGGCCGGTTTTGTTTTTGACACGGAAATGCAAACACTATGTGCTAAATTCGTCAGTCACTTGTTCCAAGTTTCTCATGTGTGCCTTTATCATGCATGTTGTCCACTTTCACACTCTGTGTTCTGTTAAGGTCCCCCCAAGGTGGCTCAGTTGTGGTTTGCACGTGAGAGCATCGCAGAGCTCTGTCTCCCACGTGGACTGTGTGCTGAGAGCCCCTCATTTCTGTGTTGTCACAGCACGCCATTTTCTGTGCTCCCCATGAGACTGAAGCAGGCCACAGAGCCCCTGGCGTCCTGGCTTTGGCCTGCCTGTCCATAGTGGGCGGCTGCCCACACTGCCCCTGAACCAGACCCCAGGCAGCCCTGCCTTTCCAGTATGCTCCATCTGACCATGACCCACCAGGAAGATGGTGCTGGAGCTCCCGTTCTACTGCTCTGTCATGAAGGAAAGTGAAAGGGAACTAGAAACACACACTTTTGTGAGTCAGTGAATCCGCTGATGGAGACAGATCAGCGGTTATGACGGTTATGCCGTAGACATGATGATCTCTGAAGGCGCTTTTTAGTGAAGGGAAGCATGTGTGGGTAACTCCAGTTACCCAGCGAGTCACTTCCAGGAGAGTATTTGATTTATTTGATTGAAATCACAATCCCCCCCCCAATACTCGAGTTTACCCATATTTCTTAAGAAATCATAGAAGTAGTTCACGAGGAAAATTTTTTTATGTAATAAAAATACACCATTATTCTCTTAAAATGCCAAATGATATCACTATTTTGCCTAATACATATTTATTATATATGAAATGCACTCTCCTTGATGAGGCCTTTGGGAAGTAAATGAGGTGGTCACGCGAAATATAAAAGAAAACAGAACTCTCTTGCTAGATTTTTCTGTCCCTCCCTTGGAAATGGCCCCCTTTAATCAACGTCGCTTTCTTCTCATTAGTCTGCAGCCTCCCCCTTGTATAACCTGCTTTCCCTTTTGCATTTATTAAAAATCAATTTTGTAAAAGCCTTTCACTGACACGCGACCTGTCACGGGCAATGGAATTTGTCGGTGGTGGTAAGACTGAACCTATGCTTTTTCACAGTTGTCATTTCTTGCTCTGTATTTCTGCCTCTAGTCTCGCTTTTTTTTTTTTTGCCTAATCTCTGTGTACATACCCACAACAGAGGTGGAAACACACAAGACATGGCTCCTTGCCAGAACTGCCCTGCGGCAGACAGCATTGCTGGGTAGCTGAGGGCAATGGCAGGCCCTCTGTATGCGCCCAGCTGTTGAAACTTTGACCTCCACCCCAAACTGTCTGCCACTGGACTCGGGGGTGGGTGAAGGGCAAATCATTTTGATGCCCTAGGTGCACGGCTCCCTGGACGTGGGCGAGTCCCCTGGCCACGTGGCCCGGCTGCTGCTTTTCAGCAGCAGCCACGTGAAGCTCGCTCTCAGTGAGTTGGTGGGTTGAGGTGACTTTTCCGCCAACCCCCATTGAATAGCAATGTGGGGCAAACCCTCTGTGGCCCTGCAGAAAGCCCTCAGGTGAGGGTTTCTCATAAATCTCACTGCCCAGCATACGCAGCTTTCCGTTTGGAGTGCCTCCCCACCCCAGGGTTTCAGAACATCCCAGCAGAAGCAAGCAATGGCCACCCCTGCTTTGGTTTCCGAGGAGCGCTCCTGGTGGCCGCCTTCCCGTCCGCTTGCCCCGCCTGCCCACCTGTGTCTGCTTTGGCAGCTGAACAGGACCGCAGTAAGCAAGACAGGAAAAGCCAGACAACTGACGGAGGGACAGGTGATGGCTTCTGTGCTGTTCGCCATCCCTGCCGGAAGGGACACATGGCCAGCGACATGCTGGGCCCAGTAGGCAGGAGGACTCCGGGCGCCTAACTGGCTTCTCGTTCATGACTTGATTTTGCAGCTTCTGGCTACTTAAGACTGCCACCCCTGGGAAACATCCCACACGTCAGAAAGTGAAGGGCTATCGTCTTAAGGAGTGTTTTCATCTTCTGTTGAAATTTGTCCACATACCATGCCTTGTGCTAAAGAACATGCTGCCATGTTTCGTCAGCAGCCCTAATCCAGGGACATCTTTAGAAACAGTACGATGGGGAAAAGGGAATTCGGTCTTCACTTCATCTGATCACTGAATCGTCACCGCTGAAATAAGTAATCTTCTGTTGTGGGAATCAGTTCTAATCATTATTCATCTCTGTTTTGATCACTGTTCTCTCTAATTGTGTCATTCGTATTGTTTGAAAGTATTTCTTCTATAAAATTAAACTAACCTGCCTTAAGAACAGAATGGAAACGTGTGATTTTTTAAAAAGTTAGTTACAAAGATTTAAATATATAAAGATGTGTACAATGTTTTCAACATAAAGATAGATAGAAGTATAAAAATGGTGCAGTGAACACACACGCAGCCCTCCCCCACTTCAACACGAATCAGTCGTAGTTGCTCTTGCTTGTCTGCACCTCCCTCTACCTCTGTCCTGTTTTAAAGCAAATCTCACCCACCTCAGCTCAGCTGTAAATATTTCAGTATGTGTTGCTAAACGAGAAAAATAAACACACGCCATGTCCTTAGCACAGCTTAATGTTTAATAACTCCATAAAGTTATTAACTATCCAGGGTTCACCTTTCCACTGGTTTCATATGTCATTCTTTTTAAAACTGAACCATTTAAGAAATATTATTTTCCTTGCATTGCTTACTTTTTACTGTAAGCAGATATGTAAGTATGTATATGCACATATATGCATATACACAGAAATGCACACATATGTACATGTCAATATGCTTACACAAATATGTACACATCTATGTTTGTATTCATTCTCCTCTCTCGGATAATTGGTGGTACAGCAAACACACTTTTCTCCACCTGGCTTTTTTCCTTAACGATACCTCAAGAGACCACCAAAGTCTGTATTGGCTGCTGTCACTTTTTACCACAAACTTGGTGGCTTAAAACAATACAAATTGATTCTCTCACAGTTCTAGAGGCCAGAAGTCTAAAATGAAGGAGTCGCAGGGCCGCACTCGTCTGAAGGTTCTAGGGGAGGGGCCTTCCTGCCTCTCCCAGCTTCTGGCGCTGCCTGGCGCCCCTAGCGTTCCAGCTTGTGGAGCCATCACTCCAATCTCTGCCTCTCATTTTCATCCTCTCCTCTGTTTCTCTGTCTTTTCCTCTTCTGTCTCTTAATGAGGACATGAGTCATTGGATTTAGGGCTCACCAGTTAACACGAGATGATCACGTCTCAAGGTCTTCAATGACCTCTGCAAAGACTTTTTCCAAATAAGGTCACGTTCACACATTCCAGATGGACGTACTTCTGGAGGTGTCATCATTCAGCCCGGTACCATTGGCCTTCTGGCTCCCCCAATTCACATCTGTCACACATGCAAAATGCACTCACCTGATCCCACCTCCCCCAGAGTGGTACGTATGGTATTCTCCATTTCTTTCCTCCTCTGCGCTCTGTGTTAGTGGATGTACCATAGTTTATTCCAGCATCTCCTAGTATTTCTAGTCTTCTGCTATTAAAAATAATTCATCAGTGAAACGCCTTCTGCAGACATCTCTTTATATTTCTTACCATGGTTTAGATAGATCCCTAGAACTGGGGGGGGGGTCCTGGGTCACAGGGTAAATGCATGTGGCACTTGGCTTGGTATGGCCATCTCTCCCTCCCGGGGGTGTACCGCTGTGCATTCTCACCAGCAGTAGAGAACCACCCTTGCTTTTGTAAAGTAGACTCCATTTGGTCACGATACAGAGACACGAATGTGCTTTGGAGTTGGTTTACTAGTGTTTTATTTATGATTTTTGCATTGATACACAGGGGGGTTTTTTAGTGCAGTCTCTGCAAGGGTGAGGATCAATGTTATACTCCATAAAACAAATGGGCAGGTCTTCTTTTCCGTGCTCAGAGAGGATAAGTTTGGGAGAATTCTGCTATGAAACCACCTGGGTATGCGTCATGCATGGGGGGCGGGGGGAGGGGAGCGCTTTAAACCACTGTCTCTATTTCTTCTGTGGAAATTGAGCTTCTAAGACTTGTCTTCTGAGGTCAATTTTGGTAAGTTGTGTTTTTCTTAAAAATGATTTATCCGTGTTTTCCAATTTATGTGTGAAGAATACAGAAGAACGTTTTGTAATTTCCTTCATTTGGATGGGTCTTTTCCCCTTGTCATTTCCCACTTTTTTGTACTTGTGTTTTCTCCCTTGTTTTCCTTTGATTGGGTTAGTTATTGGGTTATTTTTTTTTCACTTTTTTCTTTTTTAACGTGAACCAGCTTTTCGTTTTGTTAGTTCTACTTTTTTTCTATTTTATAATTCATGAAATACTGTTTATTTTTTTTAATCCTTTTTTTTCTGTTGTGTCTTAGTTGCCTTTTTTTGTAGTTGTTTGGGGTGGGTGTGTTTATTTTTGTTTTAAAATTCGTATTCCTAAACCAGTTTAGTGCTATACATTTTTCTTTGTCAACTAATATTATTATTCCCAAGAATTTCTTATAATTATTCCTAAGAATTTATTATTATTATTCCTAAGAAATTCTATAATTTCACTTTGTAGTTCCTCTTTGACCCAAGAGGTGTTCATTAACATGTCTTTAAAATTGTTTTCCAGATGTAAAGGTCTTTACAAACTTTTGTTATTCATTTCTGCTTTCATTGCAAAACAGTCAGAAAATCCTGCTTGTGTTATTTTTATGCTTTGGAACCTAATGAGGTCTTCTTTGTGGCCGATGCTATAGTCAGTTTTTGTGAATGTTTCATGGAACGCTGGCACATTCGTCATAATTAGGGTTCAGAAATTGTTGATTGATACCTACATATATACATACATATGTACATATTAGTTTCCTGGGATTGCCATTATAAATGATCACAAACTAGGTGGCTTAAAACAACAGAGATTTTATTCTCTCACAGTTCTGGAGGTCAGAGTTCAGAAATCAAGATGTTGGCAGGGCTGCGCTCCCCCCAGAAGCTCTGGGGGGAGGGTCCTTCCTGCCTCTTCCAGCTCCTGCTTCCGTCTCCTGGTGGCTCTCTCTGTGTCTGTCTCGAAATCCCCCTCTCCTGCCTCTTAAGGAGACACCAGTCACTGGATTTCTGGCCCCTGTAAATACCATCTTGAAGATGCTTAACTAATTACATCTGCAAAGACACTATTTCCACATAAGGTCATAATTCTAAGGTTCTGGTAGATATGAATTTGGGGTGACACTCTTCACCCCACTACACATACATACATACACACTTCAGCTCTAATTTATTGATTATCGATCATGTCTGGGTTTTCAGTATCTTTACTCAGGTGTTGGCTACTTGAGCAGTCCTGGGCACATTGACGATGCACATAAGTGTTTCTATTTTTCCTTACATCATTGGTAGAAAGCTGTTGCTGTGTTATTAGGTGCATAAATATTTATGACTCTTAAGTTTTCATTGGACATTATAGCCTTGTGCACTGTGAAATGGCCTTCATCTCTCTGAATGCTTCTTGCTGGCAATTCTACCTTGTCAGATATCAAGAATGAGATAGCTGCTTTCATTTTATTTGCATTTTCCTTGCCAATCTTTGTACACCATTTATTTTCAGTCTTTTTGTTTTAGCTGTTTCTAACACAGAGCAATGTTATATTTTGCTGTGTTAGATAGTCTAAAAATGTTTTCTTCTAACATCTTTTACATTAATATGGACTATTTACACTTATTAATATTGCTATATGACTTCATTTCTGTCATTTTTATAGTATTCAAAATTATGGATCTAAAATTTTCACTGTGTAGCCATTTTTTTTTCTTGTGTGTGTGTGTGTGTGTGTGTATGCATGTGTGCGTGTTTGTATATGTGTGTATATACAAATATGTGTGTGTATGTAGTATTTAGGAAGGCTTACATTTTATGCTAATGGTTACCTTATATTAACATCTTTATATACTCCTTTTAATTCCCTCTCTTATTTTGATGTCTCTTGGTTCCCTACTATGAGAAATACTGAAATTAGCAAATAACCCCCTTTCTTCCTCTTCCCCTAGGTCTGATCTGAAGTAATATAAGTAGAGGTCCATCAACAAGCTGTTTCCTTTTCATAATCCTTCCCTGTCTTGCCCCATTTTCTGACAGCTGCCGTGTATTCCTATTGTCAGGGCATCTCTGACTGCTGTATTTTCT